GGCGCGCCCCGAAGCTGTGAACCAGGCTGGGTGGCAGCGATGGGCGAACGACTGCGCAGAGCCAAAAAGTCTGCGGAGCGCAAGGGCGACGACAGATGACGGTGACGTCGGCGAGAGTAGCAGGAGCAGCGCGGAGCAGCAGGAGAGCTCAGGAGGCGGTGGCGAAGAATGAAGGGGGATCATGAACATCAGCAGGAGCGGGAAGAGAAGCGGGGAGGGGGAAGGAGGACGGGAACGAGGAGGAGCAGCCGTGGAAGCACGAGGTAAGAGGGGGAAGAAGCAGGAGAACGACGCTGACAAGGCCGACGAGGCAGAGGGGGGAGAACAACGACGACGACGACGACAACCCTGGAAGTCCCAACGCCTTCTCTAGGTAGATGCTTCTATCCCGGATCCGCTTCCGACGGCCTCGGGACCCGAAAACACCCCCCCAGGCCCCGAACTCCAGGAAAACAACTACAGAATCAAAGATCGACGAATGATCGAAGACCGTCAATAGAAAATCAACGACGACGACGACTACTACGAAGACGACGACGACGACGAAGACGACGACGACGACGACGACGACGACGACGGCGGCGGCGGCGGCGGCGACGGCGACGGCGACGGCGACGGCGACGGCGACGGCGACGGCGACGGCGACGGCGACGGCGACGGCGACGGCGACGACGACGACGACGACGACGACGACGACGACGGCGGCGACGACGACGACGACGACGATCCCCGATCCTCTTAATCCTCCTGCTCCTCATCTTCCTCCCCCCTCTCAATCTTCGACGCTCCACCTCGATCCGCGATCGTCATCCTCGATCCTCCATCCTCCATCCTCCTCCTCCTCCTTCTCCCCCTCCTCGCCCTCCCCCCTCCCCCTCCACAATTACTCAATATGAATACTACTCTCCTCTCTCTCCTGAGTATGTGGCGGAATATGTCTCGGAGTGTTCGGCCCCCCCTCGCATACTGCTCTTTGTCCACACACGATGTCGGCGAGTTCGGTCGTCGTTTGTGTTTTGTTCCAAAACGCTGCTCTCGCTAAGGCGCTGGCTTCATTGTCGGGCTTCCGCTCGTCCCGAATCGTGCTCCCGCTGCAGCGCTGGCTTCATGTCCGCGCTTCCGCTCGTCCCGAATCGTGCTCCCGCTGCAGCGCTGGCCTCATTTCCTGCTTCCGATCGTTCCGAATCGTGCTCCCACTGCAGCGCTGGCGTCATTATTTCCATGGCCACGCCACGGCATGCTTTCCAGCCAAACAGGCCCCAGAATCTAGAAGATGGCCGCCCGACAAAACCATCAGAAGTGATTACACATTCGGTGCCGATTCGTCGACAGCTTAGGCCGCAGACGACCCCCCCCCACTTTGGGGCGTCGTCACGCCATGCTATGTCATACTACGCGTTGATCTTCAACGCCATGCTATGTCATGGAATGATATGCCATGCTACGACATCCGACTGTGCGAAGAGAGAAGATCTACGGCATGGTAAGGGATGGGAGGGAGGGGTAGGACGTCAGATATGACGCGAGCGCAACTAGCTTGCCCTCCTCCACCTCCCCCCTTTCCCCCCTCCTCCTCCGCTTCCTCCTCCTCCTCCTCCTCCTCATCCTCCTCCTCCTCCTCGGGTCCTCTTCCTGGAGCCTCACACGGCTTGGGAATCATGGGTAATACCGACTGTGACATGTTGTTTCTGAGAAGGTGTGCTGTTTAGGTGGTGCGACCTTCCTCTGAGCTGTGCTCTCTCACCTCGTCGACGCTGCTGGACATGGATCCATGTTGGCGGACGGCGACGGCACCCATAATGCGTTGGGCTAGCATTCGTTGTTGCCCCTCGCCTCCTGATCGTGGAGGAAAGTCGTGGGCACAATGCCAGCTATTCAGATGAGTTTGGTCAGACTAGGGTGGCAGGTGGCACATGGACGGTTCTATGTCCCTGCGTGATTATCGCGTCTACGTCATCCCTGATGGCAATTCGGTGCCTGCTCTGATTAAGATGTTGGTAAAAGGCTGGTATTTCAGGATGCTGGAGAGGGTGTAGGCTGAGAAGCGGGGTGTGTTGCCTCGCATCTGCTATGACGTTCTCCGCGAAGCGCTGCATGGCCAAACATACAAGGCCCTCCAAATGCCCGCATCAGGGCTCTTGCTATGGAAGCTTTCTTCACAAGCCACAGGGCCCATCGTCTGGGGTATATGATCGATGGTTGCTGTCCGTTCTGTCGAATTCTCGACACCGTCTTCCACTGGCTCTAGGTCTGCCAGCACGAGACTGTTGCCGATCACAAATCCGACTTGCTTGATCCGTAGACTATCGCTGCAGCCCTTGAAGCGAAGGACGCGGAAAACACCAGCGAGGTCTTTTTGTTGATACCTGGGGCGTTTCGCCATTCCGCCGACGTTATCCTCGTCCCTGCTCCGAGTCGGATGATAATCCATGCCTTGTGCGTCAACGTCAAGATATTCTCCATCCTGCACGCGGCACCCCGACAGGGAGCTCTTTAGGACTTCCTGCAGCGTCGTGAAGGTTGATTCGAGGGTGATACGGTTGCTGAGTTTCAGGCTCCGATTTGGAACCCGTAGCAACAGTCGCTTCGGTCAGCAGGGTTCAGTTGCTTTACGTAGGCCCCTGTGCTCAGCTCGGCAGAGTGCACGGTGTGTTGTGATTGCAGCAATGTGGTAGTCAAGCCTGTCATCCCGAAGTGGAGCAGTTGTCTGGCAAGCGTGTGCATACTGGGGTCTTCTTGTGGCACGTTCACGGTCAAAGCTGTAACCCTCCGCCGTCCTGCGTCCAAATCGCCGCCAACCGTGAAACCGATCAGGACGGGACCGATGCAGAGGAGCGCTGGCGACGGTTGGGCAATCATCACGCTGATGTCTCAGCTGAGCTGGCCACGGCCATGCATCCCTCGGACCCTGTGCTGCTGGGGGCAAATGGCAAGCTGGACGAAAAATCCCGTCAGACGATCCGTCTCGCGGCGAGTGACTTGCACCTGTGGCCAGATGTGGACCTGTCGACGGCTGAGGGAGTGCAATACGCTCCAGCCTCGGCCACCGCTCTTGGCCACGTGTGGGTTTGATGGAGGGGAATCTGGAGGTGCGGCCACTGCTTGCGAGGTCGTCGTACTCTTGTGATGCCACGTCCAAGCTCCTGCTCCAAAGACTCGTCTCTGCACGCGTCTCACCAGCATGTGCTTGAGCATCATAGCATAGCCGCCCCCTGCTCTGATGACTCCTCCCTCTGCATCTGTACTAGGTGCAAGTGCTGCTGTAGCGGTGGTCAGGCTAAGGGCCTTGGCACGAAGTGTGCGTCCCCTCGCCCCCCTGGCCGGGCTGCAAAATGCAGATGGGGCTATCTCTGCAAGGGCCTGCATCCAAACTGTAAGGCTTAAAGTTCAAGCAGCGTGGTGCTGGCGTCAGGGTAGGCGCCGAGCGTTTGATCGGGTGTTTAATCCTGGTTTGCCCGTTGCTGCCGACGAGTTGCCTGTCAGTTGTTCGGCCCCTCACCCTCATGACCATGTGGTGGTTGAGGCCCCCCACTGCCAGTCATCGGTCGAGGGTCAGACGAGGGAGCCCCGACAGGTGCTGCCCAGCTAAGGCGTGTGTGTGTGTGTGTGTGTGTGCGTGCGTGCGTGTGTCTGTGCGTGTGTGTGTGGTGCGTGTATTGTGTATTGCGTGTTGTGCGGTGTGTGTGTGTTGTGTTGTGTGTTGTGTGCCGTGTGGTGTGTGTTGCGTAATGTGTCTGTGTTTTGTGTGTTGTGTGTTGCGTGTTGTTGTGTGTTGTGTGTTGTGTGGTGTGCTGTGTGCTGTGTGTTTGTGCGTTGTGTGTTGTACGTTGTGCGTTGTGCGTTGTGCGTTGTGCTGTGCTGTGTGCGGTGTACAACGTGCTGTGTGCTGTGTGCTCTGTGCTGAGTGATGTGTGGTTTGAAATGTGTCTTGCGTGTTGTGTGTGGTGTGAAGTTTGGGTTGTGTGTTGTGTGTTGTGGGTTGTGTTGTGTTGCGTGTTGCGTATTTCGTGCAGTGAGTTGCGAGGTGTGTATTGTGTGTTGTACGTTGTGCGTTGTGCGTTGTGCTGTGCTGTGTGCGGTGTACAACGTGCTGTGTGATGTGTGCGCTGTGCTGTGTGATGTGTGGTTTGGAATGTGTCGTGTGTGTTGTGTGTGGTGTGTGGTCTGTGTTGTGTGTTGTGTGTTGTGTTGTGTGTTGTGTGTTGCGTGTTTCGTGCTGTGCGCTGCGGGTTGTGTGTTGTGTGTTGTGTTGTGTGTTGTGTGTTGTGTGTGTTGTGCGTTGCGTGCTGTTTTGTGTGCGTGTGTTGTGTGTTGTGTGTTGTGTGTTGTGCGTTGTGTGTTGTGTGTCGTGTGTTGTGTGTTATGTGCCGCGTGCGGTGTGTGTTTTGTGTTGTATGTTGTGTGTTGCGTGGATTGCGGTGTGCGTTGTGCGTTGTGCATTGTGCTCTGTGTGTTGTGTGCTGTGTGTTGTGTGCTGTGTTGTGTCGTGTGCTGTGTGTTGTGTCTTGTGAGTTGTGTGCTTTGTGTTGTGTGATGTGTTGTGTTGTGTGTCTTGTGTGTTGTGAGTTGTGTGTGTGTGTTGGGAGTTGTGTTTTGTGTGTGCGTGCGTGTGTGTGTGCGTGTGTGTGTGTGCGGGTGTGTGTGTGCGTGTGTGTGTGTGCGTGTGTGCGTGTGTGCGTGTGTGAGTGTACGTATGTGCGTGTGTGAGTGCGTATTGTGTGTTGTGTGTTGTGTGTTGTGTGTTGTGTTGTGTGTGTGCGAGTGCGCACGCTGCCCTCGCCCTCGAGGAGGACGACGCCCCTCTCATGCCTGCCGTCGGAGAACAATCCGACGAATCGGACCATCAGACATCTAGCGGCCTCTGAGGACACGCTCTGTCAGGAGCTGGGCGTGGAACTCATTCAAAACCCTCCTCCTCCTCCTCTTCCTCCTCCTCCTCCTCGACCCTCGACCCTCGACATTCGACCCCCGACCCTCGCTGATGTGGCCGGGGTCGGGGCGATCCGCGACACGATGCGCAGCCGCGCGGCCGTGGCGGGCACGAGGGCCAGCGCGCAGAACAGCGACACCTCGAGCGCAGGCCTCCCCACGGCAGCGGCGGGAGGCTCGAGGTCCTCTCTCTACCTCCTGCTGACTCTCTCTCTCTCCCTCTCTGTCTCTCGCTCTCTTGCTCTCTCTCTCTCTCTCTCTCTCTCTCTCTCTCTCGCTGACTCTCTCTCTCTCTCTCCCTCTCTCTCTCTCTCTCTCTCTCTCTTTCTCTCTCTCTTTCTCTCTATATATATGTATATATATATATATATAAATATATATATATATATATATATATATGCTCGGTCCCCCCCCCCCCAGCGACCCCCCAAAACGCCCAAAACACGAAGCCGCGGTCTTGAGATGCTGGCACCGAACAGCCGCAGACACATGGTCTGTCACAGCGGGCTGTGACCCGAGAAGTATTCCTCCTCATCTTACTCTCCATCATCCTCCCCCTCCTCTTCCATGGACATCGCCAAAGGAGAAGACCCCAACACAGACGCTGCGACTGACAAGCCTGTCATCTGGGAGCAATGGGGCGGCATGGTTCAACGCGGCGACCAGAAATCCCTCGTCTTGTTCAAGCTGGACCCAGCGAAGACAAAGAGGCGGGCGCCAGGCCCAGGCCCGATCCGCAAGCGCGATTGGAAGCCTCTGGCCTACAAGTGGGTCCACAAGCGCAACATCATACTGCACACGGACGGGGCCAGGAGTTATAAGCTGAAGCTCGAAGGGGTCAAGCATGATTGGGTTGTCCACGCCAAGAAGCGCGTCATGGTCACGGGTAAGTGGGTGTGGATCAAGCCTAAGTTCACCTAGATCACCCACCACGATGTTCCAGATGACAGCAAGCCCAACAAGACCAAGCGCGTTTGGGTTAAAGCTGGCACCCAGATCATCGACCGCATCTGGGGCGAGCTGCGGAAACACTTAGGGAATAAGAAGACAGTGAACACCAAGGCGCTGACCAACAAGATCCGCTCCTACCAGTGGTTGTACTGGCACAGGGGCGAGGATTTGTGGCTGGCAACAGGGAAGATGCTGGAGGAGGCCTTCCTCAAGGAGCACTGCCAGTGAGCGGCGAGCGCTGTAGTCCCCGAAGAGTACACAGTGTTTTCTTGCTCGGAGGCCACGAAACACTGTGTATCACAGGTTTTTCTGGTTTTTCTGGTCTGGGAACCAACGAAACATTGTATATTACAGGTTTTTCTGGTTTTTCTGGTTTTCAGGTGCCGACAAACAGGAGGTGGGGGAGCGGTGGGGCGAGGCCGCGGCGAGCATTTCAGCTCCAGAAACCAGAAAAACCAGAAAAACCTGTGATACGCAGTGTTTCGTTGGTTCCCAGACCAGAAAAAACCAGAAAAACCTGTGATACACAGTGTTTCGTGGCCTCGGCCGAAACCGATATGCTTGCGCGCACGGTGCCCGTGACGGATGGGCCGAGCGGATGAGTTCGTCAGCCTGGATGGCAGGCCAAAGTTGAGTTGTGTATTCGTGCTTTGGGCGCTCTGGGGGGTCGCTGGGGGGGGATCGACCATATATATATATATATATATATATATATATATATATATATATGCTGACTCTTGCTGACTCTCTCTCTCTCTCGCTGACTCTCTCCCTCTCTCTCTCTCCCTCTCTCTCTCTCTCTCTCTATCTCTCCGACGTTTCAGGTTCGAGGCTCGAGGTGTTCAGGCATGGTCGTCGGATCTCGGCGTTTTCCCAGCCTCGAGGCGCCCTCCAGCAGCTGCGCCAGGCTGAGAGCGTTCCGGGGGGGGGCCCGAAAACTGGGGGGTGGCGCCTCTGGGAGCCTGGGCCCCTGGCGTCCCAAGATCTCCCCCGAACGTGCCCCACGAGGCTGCAGGCTTCCCCGCCATGGGGAAGGACGACCGTCTGCTCGTCCTCCTCCTTTTCACCATCACCCGTCCAGATCAATATCCTCCCTCCGTCCTCCTCCCTCCTCCCTCCTCCTCCTCCTCCTCCTCCTCCCTCCTCCCTCCTCCTCCTCCTCCTCCTCCTCCTCCTCCTCCTCCTCCGCCTCCTCCTCCTCCTCCTCGTTGCCCTCGCTCCCCTCGTCCTTCCTCCCCGCCTTGGAATTCGCCCCGCCAGGCCTCAAGCAAGCCCTGGGAACTCCTCGGGAGCCTCCGGAACACGCGTCAAAAATCATTAAACGCACACGCGACGACGACGACGACGACGACGCTGGCGGCGGCAGCGGCGGGGACGATGAAGACAGCGACGCCGGCGCCGGCGGCAACGACAACAACGACGATGACGACGAAGACATCGACGGCGGCGGAGTCGACGACGTTGTGTGGGCGAGCGAGCCCTCCCTGGGGAGCGGTCGTTCCCCCTCCCCCCCCGCGGAGCCTCCCTTCCACGGCCGCCGTCAGCGCCTGGATGACGCCCGTGCAGAAGAAGAGGTAGCACCCACCCTGGGCCGGGGGAGGAAAGGGAGGCGGAGGACGGGGACGAGGAGGGGGACAAGGGGGAAGCGGAAGACGAAGAGGAGCAGGAGAATAGAGAAACAGGGTGTAGGACGATAGTCGGGGAATGCCTCGCCAGGTGATAGCGGCTCTGAGAGCATAGTCAGTCATAAAAAAGTACACGTATACATATATATATGACACCGGAGAAAAAGCCCTATCATATTTGTTGTAGGGCTGTAGGGCCATAGGGCTATAGGGCTATTGGGCTATAGGGTAATAGAGCTACAGGGGTATAGGGCTATAGGGTATAGGGATGTAGGACTATAGAGCTATAGGGCTATACTGCTATAGGGCTAGAGGGCTATTGAGCGATAGAACTATAGGGCTATAGAACTATAGAGCTGTAGGGCTATAGGGCTATAGGACAATTGGGCTATAGGGCTAAAGGGCTGTAGGGCTATAGCCTTATAGCCCTATATCCCTATCGCCCTATAGCCCTATAGCCCTATAACCCTATAGCCCTATAGCACTATACCCTATAGCCCTATAGTCCTGTAGCTCTATTACCATATAGCCCAATAGCCCTATAGCCCGTATAGCTCTATAGCCCTACAGCCCTAAAAAGATTATGATTGGGGTTGTTCTCCGGTATCATTTGTTTGTTTGCATGTGTAAATATGTTCCCCAATCAGAGCTTGCCTCTGTATAGGGGTCCTAGCGGACTCATATGGATAGGTTAGGTGTGCCGCCGATTTTCGCCGCACGCCCGGGTGCCCGGGTGCCCGGGGGTGCCCGGGTGCCCTGGCGTGCCCGGGGGGCCCTATATGGCTACAGGGCACCGGGCACCCGGGCACCCGGCACCCGGCACCCAGGCACCCACCCGGGCACCGGGCACCCGTCACCCGGGCACCCGGGCACCCGGCACCCGGGCACCTACCCGAGCACCGGGCACCCGTCACCCGGGCACCCGGGCACACGGGCACCCAGGCACCGGGGCCGGGCCACCGAATCGGCGGCGAACCCGTGCACCCGGGCAACCGGGCACCCGGGCACCCGGGCCCAGCCACCGAATCGGCGGCACACCTCACCTACCCTTCAATCCGCTAGGACCCCTACAGAGGCAAGCTCTGATTGGGGAACAAGCAAGCAAACAAACAAACAAACAAACAAGCACACACACACATACATACATACATACATACATACATACATGCATGCATGCATGCATGCATGCATGCATACATACATACATACATACATACATACATACATACATACATACATACATGCATGCATGCATGCATGCATGCATGCATGCATGCATGCATGCATACATGCGTACATGCGTACATGCATACATGCATACATGCATGCATACATGCATACATGCATACATGCATACATGCATACATGCATACATGCATACAAGCATACATGCATACATGCATGCATACAGACATACAGACATACAGACATACATGCATGCATACATACATACGTGCATACATACATACATACATGCATACACACATGCATGCATGCATGCATGCATGCATATATACATACATGCATACATGCATGCATGCATGCATGCATGCATACATACATACATCGGAGGCTGGGGTGTGTGAGAGCGGAAGTGACCCCAACCGGGACATCGGTTTCGGTTTCGGTTCGTGCCGTGCGTGCAGGCGAGGCGACGCTGCGCGAGTTCCTCCACTTGTAGAGGCCCCGTGGAGCCCGAAAGGTCGCTCGCCTCCTCCCCCCCAGGCCAGGCGCGGCCCCCGATGGTTGCCCCGCGGGTTGTCCCGTGGTTGTCCCAAGGTTGTCCCGATGGTTGTCCCGTGGTTGTCCCAAGGTTGTCCCGTGGTTGTCCCCACGGTCGTCCCGATGGTTGCCCCGATGGGTGTCCCGGTGTGTGTCCCCATGGTTGTCCCGATGGTTGTCCCGATGGTTGTCCCGACAGATAGATAGATAATGAGATAGATAGTTAGATTAAAAATTAGTTGAGATAGATAAGCTGATAGCTAGATAGACAGATAGGTAGGTGTATATATATATAGAGAGAGAGATAGATAGATAGATAGATAGATCGTGCGATTATCCAGTGGTTGTCCCATGGTTGTTCCGCGGTCGTCCCGCGGTTGCCACATGGTTGCCCCGATGTCTGTCCCGATGGTTGTCCCGATAGATAGATAAGTAGTGAACAGATAGATAGTTCATTGATTGGAACTTTAGTTAGTTAGATAGATAGATAAATAGTTATTTATATCGTTAGGAAGATAGATAGATAAGTATATAGTGCGAACTGCACATATTACAAAGCGCAAAACGCATGCGACCCGCAAATATTGCGGGGCGTTTTGCACGCTGCGCGCGCGAAACGCATGCGAATCATATATATATATACATATTGCAAAGCGTTTCGCGCGCTGCGCGCGCAACGCACGATGCATAGTTAGATAGATAGCTAGAAAGATAACTCGTTAGATAGCTAGATTATTACTACACATAGACAGATAACTAGATATATGTATTATATATAATATATAAAAAGAAGAAGAAAAAAATACCGGCATATAGATAGGCAGATCGATAGGCATAATAATATATATATATATGAACATATATATAAATGAAGATATATTATCCCAGTGCGACCCTACCTAGGAGTTGGAGCCCCTAGGAAAGCAGCATTAGTAACTGTAGATCTAAGCTAAAGCTAAGCTAAAGCTAAAGCTAAGCTAAAGCTAAGCTAACGCCAAAGCCAAGCTAAAGCTGAGCTAGAGCTAAGCTAAAGCTAAGCTGAAGCTAAGCTAAAGCTAAGCTGAAGCTAAATTAGTGCTAAGCTAAAGCTAAGCTAAAGCTAAGCTGAAGCTAAGCTGACGCTAAGCTAAAGCTAAGCTAAAGCTAAGCTAAAGCTAAGCTACAGCTAAGTTGCAGCTAAGTTAAAGCTAAGCTAAAAAGCTAAGCTAATGTTAAGCCCAAGCTAAGCTAAAGCTAAGCTAAAATAAGCCAAGCTAAGCTAAGACGAGATAAGCTAAGCCAAGCTAAGGGGGCGCTATGCTAAGCTATGCTAAGCTATGCTATGCAATACTGTGCTATGTTATGCGATGCTGTGCTATGCTATGCCATGCTATGCTATGCGACGCTAAGCTAAGCTACATTAGGCTAAGCTAAGCTAGGCTAAGCTAAGCTAAGCTAAGGTAAGCCAAGCTAAGCTAAGCTAAGCTAAGCCAAGCTAAGCTAAGCCAAGCTAAGCTAAGACGAGATAAGCTAAGTCAAGCTAAGGGGGCGCGACTGGGGGAACCGCAGGGCGGGGACCGGGGGAACCGCCCGGGGCGTGTAGCACTGCCCGGCCCCTTTAAGCTAAGAGAGTAAGAACCCTCTAGGCAGAGCCTAGGTAGGGAACAAATACATATACATAAGATAATATATGGGGTCCAGGGCTTGCCCCCCCCCCCCCAATGCTGATGCCAGTGGCCCCCCCCCCCCGCGCGATGGTCCCCCCGCCCCCCCCTGTGGGCGTGGCGTGGTGCTGCGCTGCGGTTCCCCCCCCCCCCTGTGGATGTGGTGTGGTGCTGTGGTGGTTCAGAGGTGGGCGTGGCGTGGTGCTGCGCTGCGGTGCCCCCCTCCCCCCCCCTGTGGATGTGGTGTGGTGCTGTGGTGGTTCAGAGGTCGTCGTCGTCGTCGTCGTCGTCGTCGTCCTCGTCGTCCTCGTCGTCCTCGTCGTCGTCGTCGTCGTCGTCGTCGTCGTCGTCGTCGGTCGTCATCGTCGTCGTCGCCGTCGTCATCGTCGTCATCGTCGTCGTCGTCGCCGCCGCAGCCGTCGTTGTCGTCGTCGTGGTCGTCGTCGTCGTCGTCGCCGTCGTCGTAGTCGTCGCCGTCGTCGTCGTCGTCGTCGTCGTCGTCTCTGGGACCATACCATCTGGGGGGGGGGCCCGAGGAATCCTGGGACCATACCATCTGGGGGGGGGGGGCCCGTGGGCCCTCGACCCTGGATCATATATAGATATATTGATGGGCAGATGCGCGAGACAATAGGAAAGTTGAAGAAACCACCAAAAGAACCCAGAGACACAGCCAATCGACCGCGCCCCCCCTCCCCCCCCGACCTCTTTATCACCCGCAGGGTGGTCCTATCGGCGCATAACGGAGGTTGGGAGCGCGAGCGGAAGTGACCCCAACCAGGGAACCGGTTTCGGCTTCGGTTTGCGTCGCGCGCGCGGGCGAGGCCAGGCTGCACGAGTTCCTCCACCTGTAGAGGCCACATGGAGCCCAAAGGAGGAGGAGGAGGAGGAGGAGGAGGAGGAGGAGGAGGGGAGGGAGGGGAGGGAGGGGAGGGAGGGGAGGGAGGGGAGGGAGGGGAGGGACGGGAGAGAGGGGAGGGAGGAAAGGGAGGGGAGGGAGGTCCCCCCCCCTTCCCCAAGGCCGGGCGCGGCCCCCGATGGTTGCCCCGCGGGCTGCCCCGATGGCCCCCCCGACGGGCGTGCCACGCCCGGCGCATGGGGTAGCTGTCACCACGAAGCTGCACCACCGCCCAGCTGACCTCGTGCGCTTTGGGCACCTTGGCGAACGGGCCCCCGCCGCCAGCGGCTTGAGGAGCTCGGCAGTGATAGGAGGCAGCCGCGGCCAAGAAGCCGCCTGTGGCGGCATCACCGTCAGCTCTTGCTGGTGCGTCTGCCACCTGCCTTTTCCACTTGCGGAGCTCAGCGTCGGCGAGCGCACATGGTTGTGCATCAAGTATGCACCGCGCCGTCTAAAGAGGAACCCTTCCCTTGACGTACTGATGCACCTGGCGAGCTCCTCCCAACATGGCCTTCGCGGCCCAGTCCTTCCAGTCGGCTTGCGGAGCCGCGCCGTCGTCCTCGAGAAGCGCCGCAGCCTTCGTCTCGATCGGGCCGAGCTGGTCGCTGTGCTGAGCCGTTTCCTCGTGTTCATGTTCCTTCTCGTCCTCCTCTTCCTTTTCATCCTTCTCCTCCTTTTTCTCCCCCTCCCCCCTCCTCCAACTCGTCCTGCTCTTCCTCCCCCCTCATATTTTTCAGGGGCAACGCAGATCTATGTGTATATATATAGACACAAATATAAACGTATGTGCTATGTGCCCCCCCGACCTTGGGAGTCGGGACTGGCTTGTTGCTATCCCTGGAACCTGGAGATCAAATGAGCTACGGGAAGACAACAATGATGATAGTCCCACCGACCATCCCCCAACACCGCCTACGTATCCACAATATATGTCTTGGCAAGTCGTTCGCAGAAATTTGGCCGAGTCCTGTAATGCGCTATCCTGATGTCCGGCCCTGCCCTCGCAGCCTGCAGCAGAACGGCCCTATCCTCCGCATTCACGAGAAACACAGACAGTGCTCGTTTCACAGCTTTTCCATTATTCGGCATTCACCGGACCTTCAGCCCCAGGGCCACATCTCTGTGATTCACTCTGGTGGCAACTTCCTCCCCCCCTCCGCCTCTTTTCCCCCTCTCCCTTCTCGCCGTCCCCCTCCGAGCAACCACTGGGGGCGGGGGGCGCGCCCCGGAGAGCGCCAGCTGCGGCAGCAGCGCCGCCCAGTTGAGCGGGCGCCCGCCGTCACGCCCGCGCGACAGCACCTGCAGACGTCGGTCATCGCCTTCGGCGGCTCTTCGGCAGCCTTCGGTGGCGGGGCCTTCGGCAGCCTTTCGGTGGCTGGGGGCGGCCTTCGGTGGTCATCAGCGGCCCTTCGGCGGCGGTCGGCGGCCTCGCGCGGCCATCCACGGCCTTCGGTGGCCGTCGGTGGCCTTCTGTGGCCCTTCGGCGGCCTTCTGTGGCCGTCGACGACCCTCAGCGGTTGTCGTCGTCGGTCATCCTCCTCCTCCTCCTCCTCCTCCTCCCTCCCTCCTCCCTCCTCCTCCTCCTCCTCCTCCTCCCCCTCCTCCTCCTACTCCTCCTCTTCCTCCTCCTTCTCCTCCTCTCCTCCTCCTCCTCCCTCCCTCCTCCTCCTCCCTCCTCCTCCTCCCTCCTCCTCTCCTCTCCCTCCTCCCTCCTCCCTCCTCCCTCCTCCCTCCTCCCTCCTCCCTCCTCCCTCCCCCTCCCCCTCCTCCTCCTCCTCTCCTCCTCCTCCTCCTCCCTCCTCCCTTCTCCTCCTCCCTCCAACCTCCTACCTCTCCTCCTCCCTGCTCCCTCCTCCCTCCTCCTCCTTTTCCTCCTCTTCCTCCTCCTCATCCCCAACCTCCTCCTTCTCCGTCTCCTCCTCCTCCTCCTCCTCCTCCTCCTCCTCCTCCTCCTTCTCCTCCTCCTCCTCCTTCCCCTCCTCCTCTTGTCTTGTGCGATACAGCAAGACAACGACCAAACGAAATCTGGGCGGCACCCGCTAGGGACCCAGATCGGGGAATTCCGAGAAAACCCATCACGGCGTTATACATCGTGTTTACCGCCGTGGACGAGTTGCACCGGCCGTAAGGCTTTCAGAATCTTTCACGGCGCCATTGGATTGAACGCCGTGGACGAGTTCCCCTGAGTGTTGGCGAGTCCAGACCCGAAGCAGGCATGGAAGGAGGCGGGGCGACGAATTCTAAGAGACTCCTCCAAGGCGCCAGGATCTGTATGTTTAACCTCGCGGGGGAGTTTACCTAGATTTCGACGTGGGGGAATCCCCGCAGGCCTCCCCCAGGGGAACTGAGGCGTTTCCTAACACTGCATCCTTCCTGGACATCCCTCCTCCACCCCGATTAGTGAAACAGACTGCTGTGACCGGCGTGGGGAAGCGTCTACTTGGGACGAGCACCCAAGACGGCACCGCGGTGGACGCCTGCTTGAAGCCGATGTCGGGGAACTCCCCCATCGAAGCTGAAAACCCAGGTTCTGGCGCCATGGAAAGGTGTCCCCAAAATCGGCGCGACTCTGCGGACGAATTTCAGGAAACTTCTCCATGGCGTCAGAACCAGGGTTAAAACGCAGTGGATGAGTTTCCCGAAATGGTCCCCACGCAAACAATATTCGAATACGCCTCCCGAAACGGCCCGAGATGGACTCCAAGATCGCTCAAGATGTCCCAGGACGATCCAAGATAGCCTCCCACATGTCTCAAAGAGCCCTGGAGATCGCCCCAGTACGGCCTCAAATGCCCTCCGCGCATTCCAAGAAGGCCCCCAGGAGGTCTGTGCTGTTGCCGTCTCGTTTATGTTTCTTTCGATGGGCTCGCTCGAAGATGGCTCCGAGATGGCCCACGATGGCCCGAAGAAGAAGCGGGGAGGGCCCCAGCACGGCCCCAAGAGCGCCCAAGACCGCCCCAAGAGCGGCCCAAGAGAGCCCCCAGAGGCGAGTGTTCGGGCCCCGACGGAGTGACCGAAATCGGCGACCCAAACTCGCTTGACCGATGGATTCCTAGATGGCCCAAAGAGAGCCCCCAAGGCCTCCACGAAGGCCCCGAGACACAAATGCGCCCCAAGAACGCTCAAAGTGACCCCAACAATCCTCCAAGACGCTCTCATGGCGAAGGATCGCAAAGGTCTTGATCACTGTCGTCGACGTCGCCGTCGCCGTCGCCATCGCCATCGCCATTGCCATCGCCATTGCCATCGCCGTCGCCGTCGCCGTCGCCATCGCCGTCATCCGCCGCCGTCGTCGTCGCCGTCGCCGCCGCCATCGTTGTCGTCGTCGTTGTCGTCGCCGTCCCGCGTTTCCCGCAGCTGTCTTGATTGAGTGGCTGCCTGTCGTCCACCCCGGACTGTTAGATGCCCAGCGCGTCGCCGGTGCAAGCACGCACAAATCAACGGAAGCACGGGGAGCAACGACAGGAAACCGCTCTGCCAAGCCAGCCCCAGGCACACACTGCGTAATACAGGTATCGCTGGCAACAATCGGCAACCATTAAACCAGGACCCTACACGTCCCTGCTCAGAGCAACGCGTCTGGCGTCAGTGTTGAAAGGGCTGGTGGGATACAAGGAGGCGGTCCCTTTCCAACATGAGGCTCTCGCCTCACCGCCGCGCGCATCCGCCGTAAAACCTTCAACTGGCACAAGTGCAAGGTTCTTTTCCACATAGTGTTCTCGTCACGGTGCCGCGCAATTCGTCCCAAAGTTGCGCAACATATACAATAATGGAGGGCGGTAGGTTATGTGGGCTCTCTGGGGAACTTCGGACTGACCATCGCGACCGCCGACGATTACCCTTTAGTAGCACTTAGTGGCCGCTAGCGGCCTGTAGCGGCCGTTTAGTGGCACTTAGTGGCACTTAGCGGCCTTTAGCGGCCCCGAAAATTACCATTCAGTGGCACCTAGTGGCCGCTACCGGCTCCGAGAAATACCATCTAGTGGTATTCAGTGGCCGCTAGTGGCTCCGAGAATTACCATTTAGTGGCACTTAGTGGCTGTTAGTGGCTTCGAGAATTAAACTATCATGTAGAGGCACGTAGTAGCCCGAGATCTACAATTTAGTGGCCGTTAGTGATTCCGAAAATTACCATTTAGTGCACTTAGTGTCCGTTAGTGGTTCCAAGATTTACCAGATCTGGGCCACTGACATGTAAATTAAGGCTCGGGGTCGCCGACCTCCGTGAAACTACGGGCGCGTGAGTGACACCGCCGGCCCCATCGGGACCGCAAGCGTTCGTGCCGCTAAGTGCCGCTGAGTGTCGTATCCACAAAAAACAATTCGAAGACATTATACAGTTCCCCAAGTTGGCCACATAACGGTCGGTGTTCAACATGGGGCCATCGCTTTCGCGTCGCACATATTCATCGCACACGCTTGCAACAACTACAAAGATGGAGAGCGACGGAATTTTCAATGACCCCAACTCAGCGCCCCGATAGCAGCAAAAATGGAGGCGGACCAAAGACCGGAAAAAAACACGGGCGGGAAGCCCTGAGAAAGAGAAGATGCTGATGGGACAGGGGTGAAAATACAGCCATGTGCACCTAAATGCGTTTTTCCAAAAAGGACCGTGGCCACGTGGACCAACAATGTCGCCGGCATTGAAGCGAGAGAGCAACTCCTGAGTAAGTTATAAAACATAATTAGGTGCAACCGACGCCAGACGGTGCCGAACCTGGCGGTCTAAGGCCCCCCGTCCCGTTGTGGGGCTCTTTTGCTGCCATGTGCTGCAATCTCCTTAAAAAATCTCGACCGCCCTGACCGAAACTGCAGCCAGCGTTGACGCGAGAACACGATCCCCTGAACAAGATATGACAGAATTCGGCGACACCGCCGCCAGACCGTGCCAGACCAGGCGGTCCAGGACACCCCGCCCCCCCATGTGGGACTCTTCTGCGGTCCTTTCATGCTTTTTCCCCCAAATAGGCTTGCCTATAGGAGTCCTAGTTCGGTCCATGCAGAACCGCCCCCTGCTCCCACCCACCCCACGTTGCCACCGCAACCGCCAAACTATCCGCAGAATTTCCTCTGCATCCGCATGGCTACCTCTGGTGCCCGCACTGCTTCATTTATATCCGCGCGGCTTCCTCTGCTATTCCCAGGGCTTCCTGCGGCTATTCCAACGGCGTCCCAACACTCTCGCCCAACAATCGCCACACTCCAAGGTATAATAAACCAAAATAGAGTCGAACAGAACAGAGTAGACTAGAATAGACTAGTATATATTAGACAACACTAGGCTGGACTAAGACTGGACTAGATTAGACTAGACTAAGACCAGACCAGACCAGACCAGACCAGACCAGACTAGACTAGACTAGCCTAGACTAAGAGACTAGACTAAGAGACTAGACTAGACTAGACTAGACTAGACTAGACTAGACTAGACTAGACTAGACTAGACTAGACTAGACTAGACTAGACTAAGACTAAGACTAAGACTAAAACTAAGACTAAAAATAAGACGAAGACTAAGACTAAGACTAAGACTAAGACTAAGACTAAGACTAAGACTAGACTAGACTAGACTAGACTAGACTAGACTAGGCTAGACAAGACTAGACTAGACTAGACTAGACTAGCCTAGACTAAGAGACTAGACTAGACTAGACTTGACTTGACTTGACTAGACTTGAAAGCTACCCCCCCCCCCCCCCTTTTTTCCCAAGCCCGCGATGCTACCCCCCTCCTTTGGCCGCCCAGAAGCTACCCCCCGTGCCCACAGGAGGGGGGGGCTTAGCTACCGCCCCCCCTTTGAGTGCCCCTTGTTGGAAGCTACGAAACTTCAGCCCTACCCCCCTGAACCCCTAAACTGACGCGCAACCCCGCGACCTCGAATGCTATCGGCGGCGAGAGGGGCGGGCGCTACTCGAGCCCGCAAGCAGGACCCAAGGCGCTCCGTGGCGATCTCGCAGCACCCAACAAAGCCTTCCTGGGAGCGCCCAGGATACCTGGGAAGCGCCTGGGAGCGCATCGGAACGCCTGGGAGCGCCCGGGAGCTCCGGGGATCGCTCGGGAGCGCCAGGGGGCGCCTGGGAGCGCCTGGGAACGCCTGGGAGCGCCTGGAATCGCTTGGGAAGGCTTGCGGGCCCCTGGGACCACCAGGGAGCCTGGGCGCGCCCGGGGGGCGCTTGGGCGCGCCAGGGAACGCCTGGGAGCGCCGGGAGCGCTTGGGAGCGCCTGCGAGCGCTTGGGAGCGCAGAGGAGCACTTGGGAGCGCCTGGGAGCGCCTGAGAGCGCCTGAGACGATTGGGAGCGCCTGGGAGACCTGGGAGAGCCCGGGAGCGCCCGAGTCCGCCGAGCTCATTTTACGAGCGCGCGCCTCTGCGGGCGAACTCTGCGAGGAACGTTTTCACGCCGACGCCAGGACAACAAACCCTGGGCCTAAGGCTCCATTGCTCGCGCGGTTCGCTCTTGTCTGGCGCCGATGGATGCTGCCCGGGGGCGCCCGGGAGCGACTGGGAGCGCCCAGTAGCGCTTGGGGGCGCCTAGGAGCGCCTAGGAAGCGCTCGCGGGCGCTCGGGGGCGCCCGGAAGCGGGGAGACACTCGGGGGCGCCAGGGGGCGGTTGGGGGCACCTGGGAGCCCCTTGAGCGCGCCGCAGAACGCCCGGGAACGCCCGGCAGCGCCTGAGAGCGCCAGGGAGCGCTTGAAAGCGCTCAAGCGCGCCTGGAAGCGCGAGGGGGGCGCCCGGCTCGCCTCGGACCCCAGAGAATGGAAAGGAGAGGGGGCAGCTTCGAAGCACCCCCCCACAAACCTGCCCAGCACCAAAAAAGGAAGGAGGGCGGGGGGGGGGCTTCTGAAGCCCCCCCCCCTCGGCAAAGGGGCGCCCAAGCTTGCCTCGGGCGCCGGAGAAACAAGGGGGGGTGGCTTCGAAGCACCCCCCAGTGCCCAACGCCGAAAAGGGACGGGGGGGGCGCTTCTGAAGCCGCCCCCTCCCGTTCAGCAATGAAGGGAAGGAGGGCAGCTCGAGGCCCCCCTCTCGCCCCGCCGTCGCCGCGCGCGCTGTCCTAGAATGGGCCAGACCAGACCAGGCTAGACCGGGTCGGGTCGACGGCAAAGTAGAGGCGGGCACAACAGCAAAGAGCAAAACATAATATACTAGAACAGAATAGATAGGGCATAGTGATTAATACAAAGTATGAGGTATAGAGTATAGACTATTGAAAATAGAGCATGGAATATGGGGATACAAAATACTAGCGCGGCAAACGGGCGAGATCCCAGATGCCCCAGAAACCCGCCCACCCAACCCCCGCGCCGCCCCCGCGGCGACCAGGGAAGGACCGGGAACAGGGAACCCGCCGAGCCCCGGGGTCGGTGGAGGACACCGTTGGGCAAAGCCTACACGTGAATGCAATGCTGCAAAGTCACTCAGACGTTCCTCTCATTTTCAAGCAAACTGCGACATGGCCAATCCAACGCCGTGATCTTCATCCTGCAATGCGCGACGCACTGCACAGATTCCACTCTCATCATCTTCCGTGCTGAAAGATATCACGATGAACTCGAGGCCTCGCCGCGCATGAGAAAATCCCATAACGCCCCCTTCAAGGACGGGGGGGGCGGGCCCGAAAAGGCTATGAGGTGACGCGCGCGGCAGAAGCTCATTGAATTGAACGCTATACATTAAGACCCGTTCGTCGAAACTCTCACTTGATCATAATGCACTAAACGACAGACTTCCAAAATGCCCCAGACACCCACCCGCCCAACGCCCGCGCCGCTCCCGCGGCGGCGAGCGGGCGGACAGGGAACAGGGGCCCCGCCGAGCCTCGGTGTCGGCGGAGGCCACCGCCGGGCAGAGTCTACACGTGGATTCAACGCTGCAACGTCACTCAAGCATGCTTCACGTCCAAGCAAATTGCGATCTGACCAAAGCCATGATCTTTATCCTGCAGCGCGTGACGCGCTGCACTCGTGGCCTCGCCACGCATGAGGAATTCCCACAACGCATGAATAACCGCATGGGGCTCTAAATATGTCACCCCCCGCTTGCGGAACACATCCCCGCACTGCCCATGGCTTTGTCAATTGATCAGAGCCGACGCCCGCCAGCGCACAGGGGCCAGTCAATGCGGGAAGAAATCCAACGGCCGAAGCAGAACCACCAGGGTGGGCGAACTCCTCGGACAAGCAAAACCTCCTTGGCTGACACTGGCTGGCGCAAGACACTCGCATCCCTCCATTACCGATGAGACCCTTCACGCAAGTGGTGATGCGCTCCAGTTATGAGCCAGGGTCCGAACCTATCAAGTCCCACAAAAGATTGGCCCACTGCAGTTCAAGTTCAAGACGTGCAGGGCAATGACGAATGGCCAGAATCTCCGGCTCTGCTAGTAACAACCCCCCATCCCAGATAAAGAAACTCTTCGTCAAATTCAATCGGGCAGCGACTATGGCCGACGCCGGCGCTCTCGCCGAAATCCCACGCATGGCATTCCACGGCTCGTCTGCCACCTCCGAAGAGACCCCCGACAGCCCGCGCTCCAGCTCAGCCATCAGATCAGGGCTGGAGCGCGCGCCGACGTCGGCGACGAAACGCCGCCTGCGACGTTCATGCGGCACCCCAGCAGGTCGATACCCGCCCGCGCATCATCCACCAAACGTAGCTGAATTGCGCGCAACTGACAAGACCGCTCCTCTGATGGCCACCAACGCCACCGCTCCTCCTGCCCCCGCCACGTCCTCCACCAGATTGGCCGCAGCGTCGGCGCCCCTGGTGATTTTTGGCAACGAGCTCGCAAGAAAGATGACCAAGAACGCGGCTAGGACGATGAGCGGGCAGAAACAGGGACCCAGGCCAGGCCCCCCCATCTCTACAAAAGTTTGCGATCACCTTGAACCTGCCGCCTCTGGCCACTCTGGTAGCTGGAGTCATCGCCTGCGGTGCGACGCGCGCCCCGCCCGGGATGACCTGGCCCGCTGCCTCCGCAGGGACTGCCGACAGCGCGATCGGCGGCGGCGGCGTGCCCGGAGACGTTGCCGACGGCGGGGTGGACAGCATAATTGGTCCAGAAGGCGCAGCTGCTCTGGGCGCCGGCGACTGGAGCTGCACCCAACTCACTGGAGTACCTGGCGTCTCCGGCACAGGCGGCGCACTTGAAATCGCGTCGGTCATGGCAGCAGGCCACATTCACTGACCTGAGGCCTTGTCAATGACCACCCCCTTGGGCGCCATGCTGTGGAACCGAGCTGACGCCGAAGACCGAGCCTGGATAGCACTGGATCCAACCCCTCTTGAGCCAAAACAAATGACGCGAAGAGCCCTTCGTGTTAACCTGCGTCAATATATGGCTGGTCCCAACGATGTCCAAATAGATTCTCAAACTTGCATCGGAGACCCATCTTCCGCCCCCCCGGACCTCCTCGGCCCGCATGGCACTGAAGTTCGATGCCGAAGCTCACGCGAGGGTGACCTCTGGAGGGCAGATGAACCAAGGAGCTTGCCTGGACTCTTTCCGAGCGGAGTTGCGTTCTCCCGTTCGGCATCGCTGCTCGACCCGCAACAACTGATCCCTCATTCGTTGGAAAAAGAACTCAACTGAACACACGACGTCGATGCTCGTTGCTGGCGTGAAACTCACGCAGATCATTTACTGATCTCAACCAAATGATCGCCCCGCTGGTCTGGGCCACTGGGACGCCGGTAGTTCTCGAAAGTCTTCGCGGCAAGTCTGGCAGCTCGGCCAGGGCCCAGCCGACGCGGCCCCGCCCGACTCCAGCCGCTTCCTTCTGGACAACGCTTATGCTGCTTGATGCGCGGCGCCCACCCATGGCGAGCGCAGCTCGACGCCCATTGCCACCGAGAGCGCATTGATCTTCCTCGGCTGGAAATTCGAATGAAGGGCCTACCTTTAGCCACCGCTGCTGCCAGTGGCTCGCTATCCCCCGCGCTGCACACGGCGTGGCCGCGGACGCCCGACAGGAGAGACACGCCCCGGCGCAGCCTGGCCGCAGCGCGCCCATCTCCCGAGATGATATGATCAGGCCTCCCCCATCGACCTGAATCAAATTCCGCACGCGCGCCCTGCGGGATCTGCAGCAGCTCGAGAGGCACGCGACGAAGGGGCACGGCCCCGAAGTTCACGACCAGCTCGGTTGGGATGCACCGCTGACCCATCCAACCGAGAATCAGCATGGCCAAGTCGAACACCTGCCTCGATGACTGCCTCCGCCTCCCGGACCGTCGCGTCGACACCTGCCACTCCGCATCCTCCGCGGCCATCACGACCCCCCCCCCCCCCCGCGTCCGAGGCGAAGAGCACCGGGGCCGCAGGCAAGTCCAGCGAGCACGTCGCGAGCGAGACCACGTCTCTCATGGCGCGGACCACCCTCAGACTGACGCCCGCAATCGGGCCGCCGTTCCTCGATTCTTCTCCAACGGGCCAAAGGTCGCGGCAGGGGTGGACATGAGCTCGCGGCGCGCCAAGGCACACCATAGCCAGACGCCCGCAAGCGCCCGCAGCAGCTCCACATCCACCCACGGCACTTCCAGGACCCACGCAAGCACCGCCCCCAGGAAACTGGCCCTTGCCACCCGCCAGCTTCAGCCGAGGAGGGAAGCTCTGCGGCTCCAAGCCCGCGATCTTGACCCCCTCGGAAATACCCTCGCGCCCCGTCACCGCGCAACCCGTCTGGGCCCAACCGCCCGCCACACGGCTCATCATCTTCACGTTCTCCTCCCGCACGGGACCGCGTCTCTCTGGAGCTGCCGAGCACTACGCGGCATCCACGCGCGCGAAGATCGCGCTGACTCCCGGCCCCATGCGCGCAGCACCTCCCTTGCAGCGCTGCCCATTACCACGAAGACGCGAAGAGCCCGTCTTCTCGCCCCCCACGCCCCACTACGAGCGCATCGGTCGCTCGCGCCTGGTCCGCGACCGCCCCCCGGGACCCCCCCCCCGCATCAGGAAGTCGGCGAGCCGACCTGGCCACGCTCAGCGAGATCGCGCGGCGAAGTTCTCGGGGGCAAGCCTTGAGGCCCCTCGACATGGAGATCCCCCGCTCGTTCCCCCCGCGCCCTCGCAAGCGCTCGCGCGCCGCCAAGTTGGCAGCCAGCGAAATCGGCTTCTCAGACGGGCCCCCACGCGCGCACTGATCCAGCATCACCAGCTCCAGCCCGCGCGCCCCCAGCACGCCCTCGACCGCGACCGGGCCCCCGACGCCGGGCGCGGGCCCGACCTCCCGGTCGGACGGGCGATCGCTCAAGTAGCCGCCCCCGCGCCGCTCGACGAGGTCGCGCAGCGCCAGGGAGTTGAACGGCAGCGCGTTGGCCCCCGCCACTAGCTCAGCAACCGCCATGTCTGGCCGGCCGGGGGGGGGGGGCCTCGGAAACGAAGGGGCCGGGGCCCTCTGGGCCGAAAACGGGCTGAAACAAGATATCCCCCGCGCCATCCTCGATCACGCCCTACAGCGTAGCAATCGGGGGCGGGCCCGCCAGGCCCCGGCGGCGATCGCAAGCCAGATCGACACCAAGTAAGAAAGAATAACTCCGCACACATCAGCAAACTCCTCAACATAACGCTGGATATCCAGCCTTCTCCAGCCCCCAGCAAAAGCACGAAGGGCCGCGAAAACTCCGCGACGCCCTCTCGTCGGGAAGCGCACCTTCTCGCGGAACTCCTCCGGCGACAGCCCCGCATCTTCTCGCATCTCCAACTCGGCCATGGCCTTTGCTGAAATCCACTCCACATCCTCCACGATTGCCTCCTCGGGAACGCCCAGCCCCTCGCGCCGCGGGCCTGCGACGCTCGACGCCTCCACCAAGCGCCGAGGACCTCGCCTGGGAGGGCGAAGTATATCCAGCAAGGCGCCCCGCTGGAAAAATGCAAGAATGCGCGTGCCACATCCACGCGGATCTGCACTTTTCAAACTGCCCGCGCGGGCAGGCTTTCCACGGCGGGGCGAGGTAGGACGAACGTGAAACACGCTGCACTGCGCGCGGGATCCCACAGATACGTCGGGAAAAGCAGCGGGGCACGGCACCCCGCGCGAAGCGGCTCTGAAAAGACGGGCGCGAGCCCTGACCGAGCGGGCCGGAAAGCCGCCTTCAAAATATCCACCAATGAGGCGCGAAACCTGCCCCGGCGGATTGGCGCATATACGCCAGCCAAATGTTGCAAGGAAAACGCGCCAGCAAAAAATACACCAATCGAAAACGCATTGGACATATCCGCCTGTCCCCCAAAAACTCCAGGATCGACAGAGACTTTCGCCTGGGTGGGGGGGGCAGGACCGCGGGCACCAACGCTGATACTAGCAGGGAAACAACTTGCGAGAATCGGAGAGGAGGGGGGAGGGCGACGACAGCGTCGCAGAAACACTCTGCACCAACGTCGCGACCGTGGAACAGCATGCCACACTGCATGCCTGGGCTGCAACTCGGCGCCCCCTGTAAGCCCCCAAAAATCACAATGGCCAGCCGAATGCATCACCTTATATATTGCGTACTCCGATCGCCGGGGCCCCACCCGCGGCCCCCAGGTCGACGCCCACCAGGATGCGCCCCGCACGCGACAAGCCCATGGGCAGCCGCGCATGGCATGGGCACGCCAGGCCCCACTCCTGAAGCTCGACTCTCAGCGCAGGCCCTAGCAGCCCCCGGACCAGGATGGCGGGGATAGCTGGGGCAGCCATCCAGGGCCACATCCACTCTGGCAGGGTAACCGACGAGCGCGCGTTGCTCTCATCACAGCTGGCTACATGTAGCTCCAACCCTCGAGTGCGCATTTCAGTCAGCGCCCCGCCTCCCCCCAGCCCGCGGCCTGCCCGATGCCGAACGTCACTCCATGGGAAGTCAGCGGGTGTAGCCATGATGGGCTTCCTCAGCTCAAACCGCCCATCTCCAATGCAGCTGAGACCCCATTGATGGTCTCGGCCCCCCGCGCGAAGGCCCCCAGGCACGCCGGGGCGCCCCCGCGAAGGAGTCGCTCGATCCACTGCTCCATCCAGCCCCCGAAGAAGCCGAACTGCCTCTCCAGTTCCTCCGCCTGAACCCGGGACCCCTCTGCAAGGTCGATGACGCCCCCCCCCCCCCCCGCCCCGGCTGTAGCGCCCCGCCTCCTCGGGCGGCAAAGCCTCCCAGAGCGGCGCCCCCCCGGTCGTCGTCACGTCGCCCACTCGGTCCGCCACGAAGTCTGAGTGGACGTCCTCCTGCGCACCCCTGTAGTTTATCTGGCCCAACTTCAAAAGCTCGCGCGTCGCCTGTGCCCCTGTCGCTCGGACCAGCCAGCGAACGTAGATCTGGCCCTTGGCCCTCGCGATCGCGAGCCTCTGGACCTGCCCGACAGCAGACGCATCCGTCGCGCGGTCGCTGAACTCACGCTGCCTCAATGAAATTTGCTTCATGGTGCCCACGCACATGGCGCTCAGGATAATGAGCACGTCGTCGGCCGTCCGACTCACCCCGCACTGCCGACGCGAACGTCGCCCACTCGTGCCAGACTGCGTGGACGCCCGACCTGGTCGAGGCAATGGCGCCACTGGCAGGGCTGCCTCGTCGGCGCCAAGAGCGGCGGCAACTCCCGAGAGCGGGGGGAACGTCGAAGGTGATCCTACCACCGTCTCGCCACTGTGACCCTCACACTCGGCTACCCATCTCCCTCCTAGATGCTTATTCCTCTGCCGCTGCACGGGCCGAGCGCCAGGCAGCCCCCCCTCCGCGGCTCCCATGGAGGGGGCAGGAGGGGGGCGTCAGCTTCCCTCTTCCCCCCCTTTCTCGCCGCCGTCGCCTCGCCCGCCGCCACCGCCCCCCCCCCCTGGAGCCACCCTCCAGGCCGCGACGCCGAAGTTCAGCAGCAACGCGCTCGGACCTCTGGCGCCACAGCTTGCGGCGGGTCGTCGCTTCGCTGATCGGCCGCGTCGGGGCGACGTCGACCCCGCTGCCCGGGGACGCGGCCGCCCCGAGCTTCGCGGCCCCCACCCCGCCGCGAGTTCGAGCCTTGCGCACGCGCGTCGACAAGCGGCGCAGCCCGATCTCCGCGTCGTCGCTGTCATTGAGCACAACCATCAACTCTCCGCCCGAGCTGCACTTCCCGAGCTCGAAATCCAGCGCGGCCGCGGCGGCCCATAGAGACTGCCGCTGCTCTCCACCACGGTAGCCATGATACTGCTGCTGAA